TCCGGCTCCTGGTGCGAGGACCCCCCGCCTCTACCGGCATCCCCGCTTTGAGGAGGCCTAGTCTCTGCGGCCAGTGGGGACCCGCCGCCGCCCAGGACGCGCCTCCACAGAAACAAGTTCAAGAGCAGCAGGCGCAGAGGGAAAGAGGGCCCGGGCCGGGGAGCAGGGGACGGGAAGGGACAGCGAGCCACAGAAAGGCAAGGAAGACACGCCAGGAGGGACGCGCGCATTTGGATGGAGACCCTCCCTGAACCCCCTTTTCCTGGAAATGTGTGCGTGATGTGAGCTCAGGATTCCAGCAACCCGACGGCAGGATCCACTCAAGGCTGAAATTCAGGAACCCCAGGAGAAAGAATGGGACCGGGGCAGGCATTCCCCAAATATATACCCTGCTCGAGCCACTCGGTTTATTTATACTAAAATGTGCTAACCCCCTTCGTCATGTTTATTGTGAAACAGGACGATCCTGAGGAGGGGAGGGAAACGCTTCCTTGGAACAAAAACCAAACGCGGAGACTCAAGTCCAGAGTCTTCCAAACAAAGTCGTCCAAACCTGACCTGCCTTTTAAAAAAAGAAAGGAAGAAGGAAAAGAAAGGGAGAAAGAAAAAAAAAAGGGGGGGGGGAATCTCTGCTTGGAGAGTCGACAGAAATATTGGTCCCCTCTCTGAGCAACAAACCGTTGATCATAAAACGCGTTCCCCATCCCCCACGGTCTCTCCGCCACGGTCTCTTCGCCATCCTTGCAAACTCTTTGCTCCATTATCTTAACACTTGAGCAGAAAATCGTTAGAAATATTTGGAAACGAAATAATCTGTCACCTTCTTACGAAAAAAAGCTAAAAATAGTGCTTAGACTGACTTAACCTGGGGGTGTCTCTCTCCCTTTCTTTTCTAAGGGGTTGCGCATATCGGGGGAGCCGAAGTTGTCCTTGGACACAAGAACCGGTGAAGTGAGAAGTGGATAAAGGACCATCAATAAGATATTCTATGAGGGGGGGGGGTTCCATGCCCTATCTCACACCTTTCCTAAAAGATAAACTTCATTATCCTAAACCTTCACTCCCGGTGAATGAAGAATTTGTATTTTCTGTTCAGATAAGCAAGTGTATCACTGGAAGAAAAAGTCAGGTGGAGCACAGTTAAACCCTCTGGACACCTTTCCAAACAAGTGAATTTAGGCTGAATCCATTCACTCTGGAACAGACTTTATTATGATACAAATGAGATGCACTTGCCTAAAATTTAATGCAATTAACACTGCTTAGGGAAGATTTGGCATAGGATTAAAATGAACTAACCTGCAGTGAATTAGTAAGCCTCTATTCTTAAAAAAAAAAACATCGGTAAAAATGCCACTTCCCTGACACTGTTAGCAAGAATAAAGGATCTTCTCACAATCTGGTGGTAGGAGCAGATTTTCTGACAGAGCAAGGAGAGGGGGAGGGAAAGATTCTGCCCCCTCCTCCCGCTGGAAGAAAACTGACCCTGTTCTTTTCTGGTACAGATTCAAGGTAGAAGTTAGAGGTCAAGTTGTTCTTATAGATAGACTGTTTCTATTAAAGGGATTCTTAGCATATGTGGAGAGAGAAAGAAGGCATGGATTTTAAAGCAACCCACGCTGATGAGCTTCATATGTGGGTGCTGGCACTGCTGGGCTCTGACCCATGAATTCAGGGATCCCGGTGTTCCTGCCTTGGAACCTGCCCTGGTGACCCAGAGCCACAGTGCCGGGCACCCAGGCTGCACTGCCACTGTGGGAAAGCAGTCCTTTGGGGAATGGGAAAAGGAGGGAGGGCCACAGGAACGCTGAAGGGAGAGGAACGGGAGGAGGGAAAGACACACAAGTAGTGATTAACACAGGTAGGGAGAGGCCCAAGAGACCTGGTGCAGCCAGTGGGAGCAGTCTCCAAGGAAGGTGGGTAGTCCTACCTGGCTGTGGCTTCGTGCTCTACCTTCACACCTACCCCCTGCTGTGCCCTCTGTGTCCCTCCTCCCCATTGCACACTGTTTCTAAAAGGAATTTTATTCAGGCAGTTGTGTGTGTGTTTACAGTTGTGTTCATGGTTAATAGTGTACTTTATCAGAAAGAAAAGAAAAAAAAATAGAAAGAAAAGAAAGACAGCCTGCGTGGAACTTTGAGCCCGTTCAAGTTTGTTTGGAAATCTTTTCAGTCTGTCCTCATCTCAACTTCCAGCAAGTCACTCCTGCGTTTTGTTCTGTATGCTCTGCGTGAGCACACACTCAAGCTCTTCTTGCTAACTTGGCCGGGAGTGAGCCTGCCCACGGTGAAGCAATCCTCTGCCCGATTCTCCACCAATGCGAGCATTTCCAAGGACTCCACACGCCCAACCAGACCTCCCCTCCCAGCCTTCACTCAATCCCACCCATGGTTTCCCTCAATCACTCAGGTTTCCAAAAGTTTTACATCCTGATAGCCTTCTTCAGTCCTACAGTCTTGTTTGGAAGGCTGATGGGAACCCCCAAAATGGACCGATTCAACGCAGCACCAGGCTACTTAGGAAGGGCACATTTTGTCCTTTGGTCCCTTCCGGCGACTTAGTACTTTCTAGCACACAGTTCATAACGTAGTTACAGCCAGAACTTACTCCTCCCCTTCCATAATATTATTCAACCTGAAACATGCAACACTGTAACCACTCGGAAGGGACTCGGCAGGCCAAAGGGCACAGAGATGTGTCTCGCCTGCCAAGCCGGGCAGCCAGGGGGCAGAGACCCGGGCGGGCACCGCTCCCGCACGGAGTGAGGTCCTTTTCCTTCCTGTTGATGCACCCGTTACTAAAGATCAGTGAGGTGGAAACACACCAAGGTTGGGAAGCGTGGGGGTTGAAAAGACGCAGGGTCGGGCAGCGACCCGAGTGTCACCCGAATGTCTGCAAAACGTGCAGGCAAAGGCAGCCATGACCCCAGTCCGGCCCTGGCCCAGCCGCGCGGGACGCGCGCCACGCGCCTGTCGTTACACTCAGGGGACAGACGACAGTCACACGGCACTGACAACACGCAGACAACACCGGCGAGGTACACACCAACACACCCAAAGACAGGCTCCACCATCGCGAGGCCGCTGCCAACCCAGAGGGGACAGGAAAAGCCAGCCGGGTCCCCAGCCGTCTTTCCGCCAAAGCACGTTTACCTACACGTCGCAGTATGTGTCCAGGCTGTTCCTGCCCCACCCTAAAGATTATGGCAACGCAGGAACTGTGGGTGCGCGCCGGTGGGCCGGCGGGGAGCCTCCCCTTCTGGGTCCCGTCGGTTTTATTTCGGCAGCGGGAGGGGGAGGAGGGAGGACGGAGGAGGGGAGGGGAATCCCAAATTAAAGTAACCCTCGGTTATGAGGACGTTCGGTGGCATCGGATATTCACACCGGCAACAGTCACATTACATCCTCCGTCGCCAGAAGGCGGCGGGTTCAACTTCCCGGGGTCTCGCAAAGTCGGGCGGTGCGCCTGGGCGCGCCGGGAGGTGGGCACGCGGGCGGGCT